TTTTTTTTTGCAGTGAAAACTAATAGTTGCCGTGTATACTACAGCTCCTAAAGACCTTGAAATATGTCATAGCGATTTCAAAAGCAATTGATAACAAAAAATTTCAAACAATTTTTGTTGTTTCAAACAATTTGGGTTGTATATTTTTTGAGTACACTTTAGTGTTATTTTAAAAAAGTTGGTACACAAATTCTATAAGGATGTGGGTAAAGAGTTTTTACGTCGTTTGATTATTTCGCGGGTTCAGTTGTTCATCTTTTTTGTGAGTCGAGAAAAATAATAATTATAAACTCTATAAAATCAAACATTTTGTTAGATTAAGTACCCATTACTTGAAAAAAAAAAAAAAACAGTTTCAGGTACATTTTTACAATATTTATTGACATTAGCAGACTCGTGCATCACGCTTATTTTATGGACTTTTTAAAATTAAAATAAATAGAATTCTTTTCCTGAATAAGGTACATTCCTTTCGCTAAAATTTTTACCATTTATTACTATTCGCAATAAGGTACTAAAAAAAATTAACAGATAACGGTAATGCATTTTTCATGTTTATTATTATTTCGAAATATTTAAATTGAAATACTAAAATACACCTACTTTTCAATATTTTGACTCTTTTTATCCTAAAGTAGTCATTCATAAAAATGTTGGTACATCATTTTTTCTGGAGCATTAATTTTATAAGGAGCGATTGAAAAAATGATTTTAAACCATAAGTTGTATTATAACATCACCAGTTACTACAATCGGTACTCAGAGCTAGAAATGTATCATCGGCAATGCACCCACCTGTCACAAATGTCGTGTTAGTGTAACATCAAACTGTAACCATTTAACAAAATTTCTTTAATTTCGAGATCGGTACATTCTTAAATAAGATTTTCCAATGCATTTTATACAGTGCCTCGTAAGAAACAAAAAAAAAAAAATAAAATAAACGTCAAGTTCCATTAGATATGTGATGAATTATTTTTCGGCTCATATATATAGGCGACGATTTTAGAGAATTTGGTCCAATATGACCATTTCGAGGTTGGCAGGAGTATCGACCAACACCTGGCATACAATCATCATTTGTCATAACTTCACCGTAATTCGTCCGTATTGTCAGGCTTGGCAATTCCTTCGCGAGGCCTCGTCCTGTCCTTGGAAGCGTCACCCTTTGTCATCATGGCGTACTCGTGCAGGAGCCTCATCTCCAAGTTCGTCAAGTTAGCGAGGAGGAGTTCACTCCTGGTCATCGACGACGTCCTGTTGGAGAAGTTGAGCATGACCCTCGATATGGTCTCGAGAAGCAGGTCCAAGTTACGCGAGGCACCGCCGGTGTCGAGGCTCTGCCGTATGGACCTGCGCCACTCGTCAAAGTCGGACGTCTTGTTGGAAGGTTGGCTGTCCGGTACCCACACCGGGCCCCGGTGCTCGCCCGGCCGCACTCGCATGGCATTAGTCAGCAGGTACAGGCTGCCCAGGGCGTACACGAAAAAACACATCATGACCAACAAGTTGACGGCCAGAAACCACTTGAACGTCCTCGTCAAGCCAGGCGGCACCTGCTTCCTCTCCATCGCACACACCCTACACCGACAACCAAGGGCCGCGTCGTTAAAACTCACCCCTCGATAAGGAGCCAAACGATTCCCACCTATGGAAACGCCAAGCAAACATATATGCGTATACTTACGCCAATCGATGCGAGGTGTCTTTTGACGAGCGGAGATGAATGACCCAACGCGTTTCCGCGCGAGCGAGATAAAACGAGGACGAACAAAAGACTGACCGTTGCGCAATTAACGGCACTCGATGATTCGTGTTAATGTACCGGAGTAATTTAGGCAAAAGTACGAAACCTCAGCTGGAGCCGGGCGAGAGGCGAGACTGGTGGAGCGTGTGCTACTGCGTCGCTGGCGCAAAACATTGACACTTCCAGAGGTGTTCCCACGGAGTCGCGCGATTCTTATCGGTGCCTCGGGGTCAGCGGCTCTATCGGTTCTGCCGGCGACGCCAATCTCGAGAGAAAAATCGCCCCCCCCCCCCCTTTTTTTTTTTTCGCCTTTCGGTGTCTGATCGTTGTTTTTTTTCTAAAAGTGACGTAACGATTCGACGAACGAGCTTTTGCGAGATTTTTTTCTTCAACTGTTACGAAACACGTGCCTACTTTGGAAAAATGGCAGTGAAAAACAGGAAGTTTGTGCTTTTATCTTTCGTAAAATAGCGAATCGAGGCATTTTTTTTGGGGTCCCACACGCCGATCGTTCGATCGGCATGTCAGAGTTATGCCGATATGTTCAAGTGGAGGGTAAAAGTAATCATTTCAATAAAACCAGAGTAACGTAAGAATAATGTATATGCATGTATCGCACTGTAAAAAAAAAAAAAAAAAAAAAAAAAAAAAAAAAAAAAAAAAAATTTAAGCTATTTTTACCCCGAAAAAAAAAAAAAAAAAAAAAAAAAAAAAAAAAAAAAAAACGATCCCTCGTCTCTCGACTACAAGGTGTTTATATATTTTACAAAAATCACTATGCGGCTCCGGTCAGCATTTAGTCGTAAAAGTCTCCGTAAACCTGCAGGTACTCGTTCATGTTGGTGTCTTCGGCCGAAACGCCCTCCCCCGCATCCTCCACAACCTCATCCTCCTTCAGCGACGCGACGGTCGACGACGGCTCCTCCACGGACTGATCCTCCTCTTCCGACTCTTGGGCAACCAATTCCGAAATGCTTTCGGTAACGGGCATGCTGTCCTCCCCAACCGTCCCATCCTCCGCTGAACCCTTGTCGTCGTCGCCCACCTTCTTGATCGCCGCCAAAACCTCCAGCCGCCGTCTCTCGGCTTCTTCCGGGCTCTCCTCGAAAAACTCCTGGCTCGATTGTCCAATGTTCTCGAACAGTGCCTCTCCCACCTTGATGTACATCCGCCCGAGCTCCAGCCTGTTGTTGGCCTCGATCATCCTCGAGAACACCCCGACAATCTTGGGATCCTCCTCGACCAGTTTGTTCATGTTGAATTTCGTCGCGATCCTGTCCACGATGCGGAACCGCATGGATGTGGGATCAACCGGACTCGCGAGCTTCAATCTTCCCTCCAAGAGGAGCTTGAAATCCCGGACAAACTCCGTGTCGAGCAACAACGATTCCAACACCGACTTCATGTCCTCGAGGAACTCCGCGATGTTGCTGCTGTACAGTAACTTGGCCGTGTGGAGCTTTAGGTTCCGCGGGTCTTTCCTTTCGGCGTCGGTGATCCCGCCGAGGTAGTACCACGCGAGCAACTCACCGTCCTCACCCACAATGGGCTCCAAGTACTTGGACATGAGCGTCTTGGCGTCCGAAGCCTTTTGTACCGCGCCGGTTGTACTGTTTCGCGAGTCCAGCTCCTTGAGACTGGTGTACTCCTCGCTGCTCGGCACCTCGTACGGGGCAATAAGGTTCACGAGCTGTAGCAGCACATTGGCGACTTCTTTGGAATCCTCGGTCTTGCCCATCTTCCGGGAATCTCCAGGCGCCTCGTCTGTGGCTTCGGGAGTTTTAACCGAGCCTTTGTCGTCATCGTCGTTTTCTTCGATGTCCTCGACCAGGGGTATCGCGCTGCGAACGATCCCGTATACAGCCTTGTCGAAAAAGTCGTTCTCCCGCGGTGTCTTTCCCTCGGCGCTTCCTCCAGGTGTGCCCTCCGCGGTCACTCCTTGCAACAGTTCCTTCACTTTCATCATTTTATCAACCGCCTCTTTCCAATCTTCCAGCGTTCGGTTGTTGGGGTTTGGCTCCTCCGTGGACAGCGACTCCTCCCCCGACTCGTGGTGGGCATTTGGCACCTGCTTGCCTTCTTTCCCCAATAGGTACAATTCGTTTCCGAAGCCCGACTTGTAGTCGTGGCTCACGTCAAACGCATCGCCGTCCAACTTTAGAGCCGATTGGTGGTAGTAGTAGGCGTATACGATGGTCGCGACCCAAGTCACCATGATTATGGAGGCCGTGAATGCGAGTATCTTCAAAACGGTCGAGAGCCTCTCGCAGCAGGTAGCTTTGTTCGAGACGGGCAGTTCGATCACGGGCCTGCCCTCTTCCACGTTTACCAACAGCTTGGCTGGAAGAAACAAAACAAAAACAAAAAAAATGACCTCGATTGTTTGTGCTTGGGTCCAAAGATTATGTCATGCAGGTAACACGTAGTGAGGGTAAAAGGGAGGAATTTGGCTGAGAGTCGTGGAATTTTTTCTTACCATCCCCATCAAACTTCTTCCACTGCTCTTTCATCTTGAATTGCTTCTTCGGAACTGCTGGCCACCGTCGATCCGCCACATGTTTTGTTGCGTCGGAATGTCATAGCCAGATGATACGTCACGGGGTCAGCGGTTATCACCAGCGGAGCTCAGAAATCCAATGAAAATAAACTTCATAGCGCTGTATTGCGTCCCTCGAGTGCACACGTATTTTCCAAAGTGTTCGATGATTTATCATTATTATTATTATTTTTTTTTTATATTTAAATACTTATGTCTTATCAATGCTTGTCCTCTAAATAACTGAATTTAAAAAAAAAAAAACTGTTTTACTTACAATGGTATTTCATTCGTATGATACGTTACACGCGTGTTATCGTAAAGTTTGGCAATCAATGATGCAAAACAAAAATTCCATATTTACTTTTTTTTTCATCGCAAGAGTAAAAAAAATAAGTTGAACGTACAAGTAAAAGACTCGATAAAATGATTTAATCATCAAAGCTCTTTTTACCAATAATCGAACGCGACCAATTATTTGCAGTCGTTGGATCATTCATAGAAAAGACAACATTGGGGCTTCGTCAGCTTAATATTATTACTTGCGTTATTTTTGCTTTTCATAGGTTGTTCTACGACATTGAAATTTTATCAACATTTTCTGCAGTAAAAATAGTATGCGCAAAAAAAAAAAAAAAAAAAAATACACATCAAACAAGAAGCAAAAAAGAGGGATGCAGATCCGATCGCAAGTGCGTCTCAACTATCCATCCATTCCTTGGGCGTCCGACATCTGATTTATCGTACAGGACACGGGATTTCTTTTGCAATCTCCCTATGTTTTTTTTTTTTTCACTCTCCGCGTACCTATACCTGTAACCACGACGCACACATTCGATCATATACAAGCACGCACTAATTGCATACATACAACGCAATGTTTTTGTTTCACACGTTGTAATCATCGAGTATATAATATTTTGTCGTGAAATTATTTGTAATCTCAAACTCTTCCGTTTGGGGCTACAAAAAAATAGAAAAGACATCATATGTACTCGTTTCCATTAAATAATAGATATAAAAATCATCTCCGAAGCTCTTATATCTGTACATGCATTTTATCTTTTGGATTGGGCAAGGCCTCCAAGTTGGATTGTCCGCAAAAACGTGTGCAATAGATAGATAGAGAGAGAAAAACTCGGGTAGTCCAGAGTCATTGGAAAAGGACGAGTGGGGGAGGGAAAAAAAAGCACAAGGGTGGAAAAGGGGTAAGTTTGAGGGTGAATTCCATCAAATCAGGTGTACCCGAGATTATAAGCGTCGTAATGAGGAGTTAAGGCTGTGTAAAGGTAAGTCGTAAAGGTCATACGGTCCGGGCAAGGGAGAAAAGTCCAAGAGCCTGCACACAGGTAGGTTACAATGTAGTCCGCACTCACGCAGCAGAAAGGCGTGTGTCGATCATATCGCGATAAGCGCGTCCGCGCACGCGACGCCCTCCTGCCCCACCTTCCTTTTTTTTTTTTTTCCTTTTTTTATGCTGTACTTACGTATATGGGTGCACGTATAAATGTGCGCGTGCCCATCACACATGTTTGGGCTTTCGTGTACAAGTGACGTCGCGTTATATCGTGGCGCGCAATTTTTTTATATATGCATGACGTCACGGCGCTTTCTCAGCCCGACAAGGGTCAAGGTGAGGTGTACGCTTCTTTTCGATTTTAAAAGCGAGTCTGCGTGTGTGGGCCAAGTATGTGGTGTAACGCTTTTATGCTTCCAGACTTGGGTGTGTTTTTTTTTCTCTCTTCGCGCGTTAGATTTTTCGGGTGACGTATAGCTTCGCCGTGATTATAGTATCGATAAATTCATAACACGCAAATACGCTCTTTCCCCCTTTTTTTTCAGGTTCCTCGGGCCGTGATGAGTCTGTCAATGTGCCTCTCAATTCCCTTATCTCCACCAACTCCCTGAGATACGCTTGTTGTTGTTGTACCCATATACCCACGTGCAACCAAATATATTTTCGTTCGCTAAATTATCTATAAATGCGGGCATATGCCATTTCCAATGAGTATAGGCACGTGTTTACTGTTGTTGCTCTTATTCGCACACCTGCATTTATTACAGTCACGTCCTCAGCTGTACGTCTAACATAATATATACATACACATACCACCGAGTATAGGAATGCGTATGGAAAAAATTTACGAGCCGGAATTTATCATTGCACGACTACTTTTGTCATTGCGTGTTTCCGAATATATAGGCACGATATGAACAGTTGAGGTGAGGGGGGGGGGAGAGGGAAATCGCGTTGGATTATCTAAATATACACACGTGTTTCTTAAATTGCGCTCAATAAAACAATCGGGTGCACGAGTGCATAAAAATGTTAGACAAACGATTCCCCCTAGGCCGTACATGTAACACGTAAAATGATCCTCGCAATGTAACACACGAGCGCACCCACACGCGTCATCGTCGTGTCGTTTTTTTTTTTTTTTACGGCTCTTGCGCGTCGCGTATATAATTATGTAGCTGTGTGCTCTTTTGTTTTGATTTTTCTTTGATTCCAAGGAGTCAACGTCGACGTAACCCAGCACCGATGGAGGGAAGAGAAATCGACCCAAGGAAGACACGAGGAGTGAGATTTATGGGTTTCTCATCTGAATTCCGCGGCAGCAGATGGATGACGAGGCGCGCGGGCGTTTTTATTTTTTATTTTTCGTGCAGCGCGTAGACGGTATTCTCTTATTTTTCTCCTCCCCATTTGTCGCTGCTCTTTCTCTATTTCCCCTCAAACGGACTGAGATTTCGTTTTGTTTCTCCATTTCGTACACATTTTTTTTTCTTTTGGACTCAAAAACAACTCCCGCGTTGACTCTTTTTCCGTGTAGGGTACAGCGGCGGCCAAACTCCGGACGCGTGTTGTCCATTTCACAAGGTCGATCTCGATTTGTTTGCTTTAGTTTTTATCAACGCGTTTTTTCTTGGTATAATATGTCGCGCCCGTGTGTACTACAGCGGCTAAATGATAGTAGAGGCGCGATTCATTGTACATAAAAGTATCGTGTTTGTTTACAGGAGCAAGCAATTTAACCATTTGTGAAATTGTTATTCAAGCGTGTGAAACAAATTTTTACCCCTTATTTAAAACCGGTTCGAAATTTTTGCGAGTATTGTGAATCGGGTTTGCCGCCTGTTGGATCGTTGATTCGTTTTTTCCTCGTACGAGAATTTTATGGTTTATAAGAGACACAGTGGTGTCGTCAAATAGGGAATATTGACCGAGCTCATGAGAAAAAAATAATGATTCGCGTTTTCGTCAATGGTGCGAAAGATATCGGGGAAAAATGTGAAATATAGTCAAACGCAAAGGCTTTTTGTATACTTTGCTTGTTTTCTACGTATAGAAATTGAGGTTTTTAAGATGAATAATCGTACGATGGTTGTGGCTCTCGAAAAATACGCCTTTCTTGACTTGTACTTTTTTACGTATAGAATAAACAAAAGGTTATGTGGAATACGAGCAAAAAGGTACGAAAACAAATGTTTTTTTTGCCTCCTACATAAGACATAAACATTCCACGAAATGATGTCGATAACACAAAACTCGTAAATTACATTTTTCTCTGCAACGTCATCGCAATCTGACGCTTTCAGCAACAAAGACCGTTTTAAATTGGACAAAATATATTTTATTACCTAACAAAATGTTTTATTACAACAAAATATTAAAAGTCTTGCATCTGAAATGTGACGTAAGTTTTTCCTGACAACTCTATCTTAGCCCTCTAAATGACAAAAATTGCTGTAAATTAATAAAAAAAAAATAAAAGATACTTCAAAGTACGATAACATAAATGAAAAAAAAAAAAAAAAAAAGTTATTAATCCGGTGTTGCTGTATTATTATTGTCATTGTATACCCTGGTCGCTCATGTGCGATGATCCCCGGTCAACCAGTCAAATTGCAGATTTAATCTTAGCAGCCGATCTGAGCAACCACCAGCTCTGTACATAATTAAGTAATCGAGGTACCACTAAAATTGATAATTAGCCCACATCTCACCCGCCACTTGGACCTTACATGTTATAATACTCATATATGTTTGTATACGTATTCACACGTTCACTTCCAATCAAAAAGCTGTGACTTCCGACTTTCTCGTACGAGGTGTCAATTACGTGACCTATTCTCGACGATGTATATACTTAGTATCACGAGATGATCACCCCATGGCGCCGTTCGTCTCATCTTCGGTCATGATTTATGTTATATATACCACAAGCATCTTGTGATTAGTACAATTTTTTCTGGAATTAGGGACGTGACATTTTATTTACTTAATATGCAAAATTGATTGTTAGGGACTCGGATCTTTGCCTGCGTAGCTGAGATATGTTTTGTGCTTTTGGTAAACTTTTTTCTCACCAGTATTCTAAATGCTAAAAGCTACTGATATTAGCCAATAATTGCGACAAAAATCATATTTTAAAGTTTTTAAATGTCCCTTTGGCTAATATTGATGGGGCTATTATGCATACGAGCAGTCGAGTATGTTACCAACCTCGAGTAATTCAGATCTCGAAAAAGTCAAAGAAATACTGGCATCTGTTGCGAAGCTCAAGAATGAACTTGGCGTGTCTACAATTTCGGTCGATACGTTTCCCCTTGGAGGCTTGCAAGTTTATCCACGAGATGGTTCTCATGGCTTGAAAAATTTTTAAGAGCCAACTGGAACCTCGAGTAACAAATTATAAATAAAACTGTTTGATTCATACGAGATGTATTAAAACCTGAAAAATAATTTGGTGATTTCTTGTATAATTTTCAATTTTTTTGATTCAGTTTACCATTAGTAGCTCCTAGTTTTGCAGTAAATTTTTATTTTTTTATTTTTTTATTTCTATATCTATATCTATTATTCTAATACCCATAATTTATGCTCGTTGCAAGATTATATATTGAATTTAGAGTTATAAATCTCGGATGTGTCACTTTCACAATATTATCATAAAGTAATTCAAAATTGAAGCGCAAAAACACGTTATTACACGCAAAATGAATAAAATGTGCCATAAGAGGCAAAACTTGACGCTCATCCCCTGTAATGAGGAAAAAAAAAAAACTGACTCTGGACATTGTTAAGAAAATAGGTCGGAAGATGTCATTAATTAAAACACGTCGAGCTCGGATTGTATGGAATATGACAAAATGAATAGCATTACCGGAGCATATGGGAGCATGTAACAAGTTGGAGTGAAAAAACCCACGGCTAGGCCGAGAGAAATTTAATGAAGGGGAAAAAAAAACCTCACCACCCCTGCGGAGCAACAGGGTTGCCGAGTGTTTTTTCACTGTAAGTTGTAAATTCCAGTTTCCCAGAGAGGCTGTACACGTAGAAAAAAAAAAAAAAAAAAAGCAAAAGCCGTCTGGAGTATAGAGGGGACGAATGTTGCATGGACTGTTGCCAAAAAATTGACGACTGGTTTTCATGACAAGTCGACTTTGTGTTCCTTTTTTTTCCCCTTGACTTTCCGCCTTTCATTTGTGGTACCAGAGGACAAAAGCTTTCGATGGAAAAAGGTTTTCCGAAATTAAAATTTTCCGATCCCCGAGTTTGTCGTCGGAATCTCGCGGGAAAGACACATCCAAATACTTGTGTAGCATCATAAAAAATGACGTTTCTGCATGGATTCGAGTTACTTAATTTTTTGAGTAATCTCTTTGCAAGTGACAAAAATGTGCAACTATACGACTGATACCGATTTTCCCTTTCTCGGGACAGGTCGAAAGCAACGTCATCAAACTCGGGCGTACACAACAAAGTGCGAAAAGTGATGGAAAAACTATGTACGCAAACTATTAATATCGCGATGATGGCGAAAAATCACCCTCACGCACCTCGGTGTCCCCGCCCCCTTAGCGCGTCTCTTGCTCCATCCGGCCGACGCCGGTTATCGACCAGCAGGGGTAGTCCTGCCCTCTGTTACACCATCCATCCGTCTCCCTTTTTCCCCAGCCCGCCCGAGAGAAAAACCGAGGGGGGAAAACCTTGCTTTTGATGGGTCGCCGACGACACGGACCGCATCGGGCTTCCTTGAACCTCTTCTCGATCCCCGATTCGATTTTTTTTCCCTTTCCCCCCCCCCCCATCGCTTTTCTTGCAATCCACGAGGCATCCCCCCATGCGACTGTACTTCCTCCCCGAGGCTGTGGCTCTGAATATTTCACGCGCGCTCGGGTGAGCTGCTATTTGTACCTATACAAGTACATAAACCATAGGCGATCTTCGCACGTGGGTCATAAAACATTAAAGGACATGATGCACGGGTACAAGCGCGTGTAGGTCAAATGTCTCATCACTCGTTAATCCCGTCCCCGTTGGCTCATTTGTTTCTCTTTTGGAAGCTCAATTATGCACGACGTTTGGGAAAAGTTTCGTAGCATCGCGCCTCTAGTGATATGTATGTGTAAATGCACTTGTGTGTAATTTACAGTAACGAGGGAACAACAAATATACAACTTAAAGCTCGGGTCTGGGTGTGCACGTGCAAGTGTCGGGTCGCCGAGCTTTAAAGCTCTGATTACCCCCTCCCCCGGTGAGCACGTGCAAGGGGCTGCGTTTTTGTTGCGTGTGGAGGTGCAGGGATGGAAAAATGCTCGAGCCTCCTCCCCCACAGTCAAGCGGGCCCTTCCCCTCTTTGAGGTTCCCGCGTCAATTAATTAATTTTTTTTTCTTCCCTGAGATGAGGATACGAGCTCTACAACGACGCGTCGGTGACCTGGTTTGCCGGGCACCGCTCGAAAGAAGGTTTGTAGGGGGCAATTTGGAGTCACGCTAGCTTTACCGTGAACAATTCCCCCGGCTATTACGACTGCGAATTTATTCGAGTGCTCTCCTGCAATCAGTGGCTCATTTGCGCTGCTTCAATCAATTTTGAATTTTACGGCACATGTAATGTCTTATCTTGCATCGTCCATAAGCTATACATGGGATTCAAGTTTTAAGTGTCGAACAGATGGTCAATATTTTCCTGGCTCTCGGGAACACAGTATTCCTATTGTTTGCTATATACTTACTTTCGGTATTTGTACGCTTCAAAGAAATTGCGAAACATTAATCTCAATGGAGCACGTGTCACAGCCACGTAGCGAACATTATCCGGATGAAAATGCAAAATAGATCAATCGTAAGTAGTCGATGCTAACTTTGTTTTTTTTTTTTTTTTCCTGAAATTCCCGCATTCGGATAAATAAGGAAAGTTTATACCGAACTGTGGAGTTTTTCATAGCTTTTCAAAGAAATTTAGAAATCCCCTGGCGTAAAGAGAAGAGGAAATTCCCAATCTCGCGCCAAAGAAAACAGCGTAGACACTTATTTTTCTCATCTCACACGGATGAACTATACGTTATCTATGTGGACGTACAAGTACAGAGAAGCGCGTAACAAAAGGTAAGAAGTAGATTGACGGAGATAAAAAAAAAAAAATAAAAAGAAAAAACTATGCCATTCATCAAAGCCCTGCAGTTGGTTTTGTTTTCGTTTGTTTTCCGATACTATGTTTTTTTCTTCATCCGTTCCACGTGGAAGATAAGTTGTGCAGCGGCAGAAGAGCCTGAATTACGGGCGACGGTAAAACGTACAACGAAATAAGAAGCGAGACGGAGAAGATCGATAAGATAAAGTTGGCTTATCGTTCAATTCGTGAGAGTACAGATTTCAAACCGAGCGTTTATGTAAACCACGCAACGCTTTTCACTCGAGATTTTCATTGAGTGTACAGATTTATGAGGAAAACATGAATTTTTCTTCTTTTCACAATGATATTCACAATTGAGAAAGTCACTGGTTTTGCTTTAAGATTAAGAATCTCGAGGGTTTCTTNATTACTAACGGGTCGAGCTGCGTTTGCAGGAGCCCCATCATGCTGATACCACATTTGCTTTTGCACATCTTGTCGTAAATTTTCTATCATTCCAGCAAGGCAGTGTATTAAAAAAGTGTCGTAGCCTGCAGCGGTCTGTCACACGGTCTTCAAATTAATTTGGCCCAATGTTTGTTTTCGTAATATAATTTTTAGTATACAAAAAAAACATAAGAAATTACGAACAACACTCGTTGACGTCACACCTCGCGTACTTCCAGCCAAACAGAAAATAGCCCAGCATCGAGCCGACAACGACGCCGATGCACAGGTACACGTTGTACGTCATGAATATGAACATCAGAAAGTATCCCAGCACTGCTTGGCATCCTTGCAGAACAGTTTGGAAAACGTGTACCGACGAGAACATCCTCTTTCTGCGAAATACGGTATTTTTATTTAATATTTGATCAAATACAAGTGAAAATTGTTCCTTACCTCCTTGGCGCTGTCATTTTCTGAACAGAAGTCCTGAAATTGAGGTACTCTCTGAAATAAAAAAAAAAAAATAAAAAAAAGCAATTTATGTTGCAAGCTCATATCGTGTTGATTTTCAATCGTTTACAATGTTTCTCTCAAGTTACCTGTAATTTTTCAAAGCCTCATAAATCACTCCCATCACGATGATGCCAATCATGGACCAAAGGATGCCCGTCAAGTCCGTCGTTCTCCATTTGTCAAAGAGTATGACCTCCCGGAAACCAAAATGAAATGACATCTAATGGTACAAACAAGAAAAAACTGGTGTAAGGTTATCTACGAATCGAAGCTCTGATGGATTGTATATAAAAAAAGTTTGGCTTTCGTCACGAAAATATAAAATAACGATAAATGTTTTCGATGCAGTTGTAAGTAGTTGTTGAAATTCCAAAAGCTTTTGTCACTTACCCCGTGCATGGCTGAATTGTTAACGATCTCTTCCGTGAGTGTACAGCTGTTGTGTCGTGAACCGTGATCCGATCCCACCTTCCGCGGTTTGAGCGCGTCGCGCGCACACGCGGACACACATATATATATACCCGTTGCTCTGCTCTTATCTTCTCAAAGATAAATTCAATCAACAACACATCGAGATGACTCTCTGTATACGTTTCATGTGTAAACGTACTCGACGTAATATACATGCATATAATTGGCCATTGTGTATCGCGTTGTCGGTTTATTTGAAATAAGGTTAGCAGCTTGGACTTTCTCGATTTTGCTGCGCTCGTGGATTATCACTAGAAAGGCACAGTTGATGAATTTTTATATAAATCGAAACAAATCATCGTGAAAAAAAAAAAAATTTTTGCAATTTAATACTTTGAATCATTTCATCCGCAATCAGTTGGGCACATACCTTGAAATAAGTATGATTCGGCTTTTGTATATAAAGGCTATCCATAGTTTTCCGATTGACTTACGTATTCGTCACCCAAACAAGTAATTACCGTATCGATATCTGACTGTTCCTACGCAAATATTTGTTTTTTTTATATTCTCTCTCTCCCTTTCTTGAATCTATACAGAAAGATCGTTTTTTAATGACAAAAAAAAAATTACAAAATATAATTCTATTACTGTTGATTCTGATAAAAATACTTATTGCTCTATTGTTGTATTATGAATAATTGTAAAAAAGGAATAATAAAAACGAGTACCAAAGGGGGAAACCATCGTATAATCCACTTGGGGAAGCCGAGGTACAACAACTCACCGTAGTAAATTCAAGATAATTTTTGATACGACCGCAAGTAAGCCGTACATTACAAGTTTTCTCACGAGTCCATTAAAAAAAAAAAAAAAAAAAAAAAATCGCGTTATCGACCCTGGTAATAAGTTAAGGTTTTTCTTATCGAAAAAACAAAAAGGAAAAAAAAAAAAAATGCGTTTCAGACCTGATAATGCAGGGAGAAAAAAATGTAATGTGGTGAAAAAAAAAAGGGGAAAGAAATAGTTACGAGGTCGACACGCGAATATATTAGAGTCGCAGATGCGTGGCGATGTAGATAGGCCCGGTTTCTCCCCCTTGCAGCTACGTCGGGGCTAGTCTGGCACTCGCGCGCAGAATCCACGGCCGAGCGAGCTAGCCAGCTTGGCGCCCTCCCCCCGTACTCTATACATACATACCCATACACAACACGACCTACGTCTATATAGTCGTGAAAAGAAGGGCGCGCGCGAGCCTGCGTATATGGGTTGAAGTTAGATTTTCCAGGGGCGCCGGCAAAATACGGACCCCCCTTTTCGCGAGCCACTGCTTCTTTACCTCGTGTGTACGTATATAATATATAAATATACTATATGTGACATTATACATGTGGGTCCGAGACGGAACGGAGACGCGCAACCTGTGGCTGAGCGATGTCGTCTCTGTCGCCAACTCTCCCTCTTCTTTTCATCTCTTCCGATACACTCGTTGTGTATGCACCCAACATACTGAGAGCGAGAGACATGCCTGTAGGGGGGAAAAAATACCGGTCTTTGTTTCTCTCGTGCAGGGGAGCGCGGGCCATTTTTTACCACTTGGTTTTTTTCTTCTCTCCTTCCCTCCCTCCCAGCTCCTTGTTATCTTTGTTGTCGGTCCCTACTTTGAGTATACGTGCAGCGGTTTAGACTTGCACATCAGAGGAAATTTTACTTTTCATTCAACAACAGCGAGGGCTTTCATGTTATTTAAAACTCAATAATGTGTATTGCAATACAATGACAAAATAGTTGAGATTATTTATCGGTGGGGAGGGAGGAAAAAAAAGGGGGGGCGCAGGGAGGGGTGCAGCCAAAAAGCCGCTAATTAGTCCCGCCACGCGGCATCCAAATGTCCATGGATTATTTCTTTTTTGCCCGGCCGGCCGGCAGAGGCACCCACACGTACGTATAATCCACGCACCCTCCGATGATCCGTTCCATTCCCCCCCCCCCCGGGGTCCTCCTCTCTCGCTATGGCTTGTAAAATTTTCTCATCCATCACTCGTCCTTCTCCCCCTCGCGGGCTCATTGACTCGGTCTCTCCTTCTCCTCCGCCAACCATCCCTTGTACCATAGCTACGGCTACCCCCCTCGTACCACGGGCGTCCTTGTCGCTCCCCCGGGCCGGATGAGCATCGCCGTGTATACGTGAAACTGCCGGCCGGGTGGTTGGCTGGTCGTTGTACCGCGCATCTACCTTTCCATCTGTGCTCCACGCGTGTATTTATATACATCGGGTGTGTGTGAGTGTGTGTGAGAGCAGAGTCGGCGCAAGCACTGTAGCGCTGGGAGGCACAGCCGCCCCGCGCGACCTGTGGCGAGCCAGTAGCTTAGTAGTTCTAGTGTGGAGCGCTTGGACGCTCAAAGCACCGGCCGTCACTTAACGCGCGTTTAGCCCTTACCACGTTGACGAACTTTTGTTGGTTTTTTTTTTTTTTTTTCCCCCCCCTCCCCCTGGTGGTGGTGTGAACGCTCCGGTGGTCCAGCTATCGGGCAAGTGTCTGGTGATCGAAGCGGCAATCGAGGGGGCACAGGTAAGCGAAGGGGTAGCTCCAGAGATTGTTTCTTTCTCTTGGTATATTATACTTAAAGTGGTGCAATAACGGGATTGCACAAATAGGTGTCCTTTACCTCTAGTAGGGATCCACCAGTGTTGGGGAGATGCTTCGCACATTATATGCACGGAAAATGACTAAAGTGCACATATGTATACACACACACGCATCACATTGTTTTGTAAAATTAATTATTTTGCGTGCGCGAGACTTCATAATGCCGAGGAAGCTTTTCAATCGAAAACAAAAAAGGAGAAATAAGAAGGGAGTCCCAAACGGCAGGTATACTTGTACGGTTGATGAAAAACATTGCTCGATCAGGGGGTGGGGGAAAAAAAAGCATTTTCACCTCGCCAGAGACGAGAGGCGATGGGAATCCATTGGCGCGAAGATTAAAAAACCGAGCCGGTCCACTCGAGGGAGGGAGACTCGCGAGGCCAATTCCCCAACGAGTGCCCCGTGTGTATATACATACACAATCGAATTTCGACTGGTGTAGGGGGGGGGTACTCGCAAGCACCACTATGCTTATTACCCCCTCCCCGTGTAAGCATGGAAAGGGGTGCCAGAGCTGGAGGTACCATCTTCATTATACGGTTATCGCGAGACGTGATGTTTCTTATTATTTTTTTCCTCTGTATATAACAAATGTCTCTCGAATAGTTGTCCATCACGTGATGCCGGCAATGTACCGTTGACGCATGGGGCGATGTATACCTCTCGGGTCCGATTGGCTGACGAGTACGTAGCTAAAATACATGCATGTCTCCTAATGGTTTCAAGGTTACCGCTGGACGTGGCGTGTGCATGGCTCCTGGTGTAGTGCCTATACCTACTGTACCGCGTCGTTATGGTTCTTCCGGTGATTTATCCTCAACATTCGACCCTCACCCTCTGCCCAAATCGCTCGTCGCCACCAACGTCCTAGATGCTCTCCTATCGGTGATTGTGTGTATGGGTATACTTTCGTCTTATTTTTTATACCTCGTTTCAATTTCCATTCGTTATAAATACTACATGTTTTCTGGATACATGAATCCACTTGAAGCATTTGAAAGGCAAAAGTCGAGGGCCAAGTATACCCCGTACTTTTCTTTTTTGTCCCCAAACCCTTTGTATCGGCATTAATAAGGTAACAAAGTTACGCACTTGTTGTGTAATTTTCCACCAAAGTGGCAATTGCACCGATTTCCACTCGAGTGCACTCGCGACATTGTGCGAACGTAACTTCAACAATCGCACGGCAATAAGTGAATTTTCCACGAGAATTGAAAAAAAAAAAAAAAAAAAATCCTTGTACAGAGTAGTAGCACGTATTTAGTGACGATAGTGCGCTTAGTTTCGTCGCGTGTTTTTTAAATACATACCTAGACCGGCTTGTTCGCGTGTATTCGTCAAGATTAGCTTCCCACTGCTGTTTAACTTGAACCGAAAAATACTTGGCTGAGCAGTCGACTTGAAAGATTATGAAGAATCACACGCGTTTTAAAAATATACTTGTGGTAACATATTAAGAAAAAGAGAAAAAAAAAAAAAAAAAAAAAAGATGTGGCGTATAAAACACGTTATGATATCGCACCTCGAAACGGTTCGAGTACGCGTTGCGCGGCAAAAAAAATAATTGCTCGGCTGACAAGTGTCGATCGTCGAAAAATACATCGCACGATCCAATCAGGCGAGAAAAACGCTTGTCGTGTACAGCGTATGGATTTAGTTCGCTGTTCGTGCGGCGTAAAAAAAAATTTTAAAAAAAGTACCTACCCGGGGCATGATTGTATCGATGTCGACCAGTCTGTTATTACTCCGCGAGATCGCGACCTCGAGTTGAAATAACGCAGTTGCAACGTATAACTCACCTTCGGCACTGATTTTTACTGTAATTTCAAGATTTTTTTTTCAAGTTAGCGATTTTTACATTAAAAACGTCAGTGAATTGTTGCGTTTAACAACAAAATATGGTACGTTATTCCGCAAGGAAAAAAAAAAGGTTTTATCTAAAGTTTGCAAAAGTTTGTAAAAAGAAAAAAGAAATACGTATTACTCAATGTAGAGAAAACGTAAAATCATATGAGCTTGACGTTACAACATTTGTAATGACTCTCAAAAATAACATGAGCTCGCATCACCCAGCAGGTGATTGGGCGTTGAAAAGGAAATAAAATTGGAAAAATTATAATTAAATGGATTGTACAGCGAGAGTTAGAAAAAGGCCGAAATATATTTCAGGCTCCCATCGCCGTAGCAGAGTCGAGTGCAAACGCAAACTTGCACCGGCTCTGTGAAAAGCGACGACGAGACGACTCCGCAAACGCATTCCGGCACAGTTAATGGAATATCCGGGCCGCGCTATTATACTTCCGTATCGTTTTTCGCGTTAATTTCGCGACCTCGCGCCGGTGCTCCATTTTTTTTTTTTTTTCTTTAATGTTAAAACGCATTGAAATACGTATATAAATATGTGTATATACTAACGGGAATTGTGCCATTGAGCATTGATCAATAGGGGTATAAAGTAGCTCGTAAAAACGACAGTAACGGAGTATTTTTGAAAACAAATGGGTCGATGACGCAGGGGATTATACCGGCCGACCGAAGCGAACGCGACGTATATTACGTCGATCTAATACCACATGAAAAGATCGAGACGATTTCTGGCACGGTGTTGGTGAACGGGGTTCATCGATCAGAGTCAACCTCGCGGCTGTTTGGAAAACATCTTCCGAAGCAAACAACGCGAACTCCATTTATTCGTCTGTTCACTCGTCACGACGGCAACAGTCACATTTAAAATTTGCCCGCGAAAGTGGGACACGCGAAACTCGTATACTTTAACCGATCCCGGGAAAAGTCGGGCGATCACAATGAGCCGGCCGGCCTAATTTATCAAAATCACGAGGGAAAAAAAAAAAAAGTTTCCGTACATGTTATGTATATATACAGCTGTCGTGAGAGCATAAAAATAGAGTTCGGGGAAAAAAGGAGTGGGCGCGTCTCGGAAAAGCGCGCCCGGAAAACCACCTCGACACGGAACATATACCGATCGGTTGGGCATTAAAATTACACCGACACGCGATCTCAATAATGTACCCACGTGATTTCACATGCACAAATGAAGACGCCATCAAGTACGGGGCACTGTAATACAGCACGCCAGCGCAGACGAGTAAATGCACCAATTGTGCGTCTAAATGGTGGAAAAAAAAAAATAATAAATAAAGAAAAAGGCCCCACCTCCCGTGCGTTTCCTTAGAAAGTCGAGAGCTATTGCTGGGATTAGTGGCTGTTGGCGAAAGTGCAGAGCCACCCTCGGTGGGCTACAAAGACATTCGACAAAGAGAGCACGGCCGACCCCCCCCCCCTGCAATTGCACCGAGAGGCCTTTTTGTACTTTGTTTTGTTTCCCCATCCGCAACCTGCTCTTGGATATACGTTGCATTCCTCGGGGAGCTTCCGAGCTCTTTTAATTAAAGTAATTTTCCCCGCTCTCGAATGCCCCGGTTCGATTTCACCCCCCGAACCGTCCATGGGCTAACTCGCGTGCGTTTCTCTTGCAGGCTGGTGGAGCAACGGCAGCTGGTCGGAACGTTCGCTTCGCAGCTAATCCGCGACCACTCGATGATCCGCACCAGTGGAGGAGAAGAGGCGGCAGACGCCGACCAAGACAATGGCCAGGGCGGCTCAATGGGGTGGAAAGCTTCCGGCCAAAGAGACGCCGGGGATGCGCTGAGCGGATAAGCTCGCAAATTTTAGTTTCACCCTTTTTTTGTTTTTTTTTTTACTCCTCCTCCCTTTTTTAAGCCCCTACAGTCAGAGTTGGAGGATCGGCTGTAAATGTGGATGACGGATAATCAAAGTAAAATATACCTATGTAGATAGTACACAGCAACGCATTCTAAATACTGTGATGGTCCAAGTGTTGAGCAAAACAATCAATGTGCCAAACGTATACGTGTTAAAATACACCATTATATAAATATCGAGCGCGTGTGCATCGCGCGTACTTTGCGGGCTTTTTGATATACTCATTCATCGGTATACCTTCTTATACAAAGGTATCCTGCACCGTGTTACAGCTAATCGTGGCTTTGGGATCAATTTTTTTTTTTTTTTTTTAACGACGACGCCACTCGCTGCAGCCGTCGAATTTTTTCTACACTACATATTGTATCCACGCACACGTTTGCCTAAAGCTTGAGCTTACAAGAGATTCCATGTATTTTTAAAGGGACTGAGATTCCATAGATGTCCATTGCTTTTGGAAAAAAACTTTTGGAAAAAAAACAAAAAAAAACAAAAAAAAAAAGAAAAAAGGAAGAAAAGGTGATTTGTGAGGAACCAGTAGGTGTAACCGTAGTTACAGGTGTTTATGAAATATGCCATTCGAGCTGTCCATAATATATTACCCTTCACCTGGGAGCTAGTGCTGATGGCTTGAGGATAGTCGACATCGTAGCTTATTTTTGTATACCCTTTCGGCCAGCCATTTGTCTCGAGGGGAGGGAAAAGTATGCCAGAAGCAACGACGACCTCGTCGGGTAGGACGAGCAGCGAGGTCATCCGGATGGAGCCACTGGGAAGGACCTCGGCGAGTTCGCGCGGCCCGGGACAGAACGGCACCGCGAACGCCCAACGGCCAGGTGAGTCTTTGTCATTTTTGTTTTTTTTCATTTGTTCCCACGAAGGGCTCAATACCCCTTTCTCTTTCTCTCTCGGTCTCGTTATTTGTGTGGGTGTGTATGGTGGGTTTCATGGAAAGGGGAGGGCCCTTCGCTGCTCTCTCTTTCGGTCGATCGATTTTCCGAGTGTAGGTGCGTAGAAGCGTAATATTTAATGTTGGTGACCCAAGTGCGATTTTTTTTTTTNGTGCGATGCACCAAAGCTTTCGATCAAACTTACACATGCGCCACGTAGTAGTACACACGATGTCGTGTATTTACTCATCTGATAAATTGTTACACTTATACTACTGTTGCTATTGTATTGTTGTTGTTGTTTTTTTTTTTTTTTTTTTTTTTTTTTTTTTCATTGAATTTTCACGGAACGATGAACAAAGCCCGTAGTGTATCCGTGACTCTGATTCGTTGGTTACAGCTCGTGCGTGAAATAAATGTATTCAAATAAACCTGATGCAACTTCCTCGGAAGGTCGCAAGTTCAAGAGTTCATTGGGGTAACATTGCTTGGGCACTGTTGGACGAACGAAAAATCTCATGTCAAGTTAACACCTTACAAACATTCTTTTTTTCTTCCCTTTGAAACTCAAATACATTACACAACATCATTTCCGTCTCTGTGTGCGTACAAGTATGTGTGTTGTCAGTGTGATTTCCTTCTGTGATGGATTATAGTGTTGACAGAAAAATTTCATTTAAAATAATTTTAATACTTACCTATTGAATAGTTGAAATTTTTTTTTTAAAACATATTGCACCTTTCTTCAAGAGTTAATGAGAAAAAAGTTTTTTTTTTTCAATCAATTTGTTTTCCTTGGTGGTGTGTGTACATTTACGTTATTTGTGATCAACTTTACATTTGAAAATAATGACTATGGGTAAATAAAATACAGAAAAAAATTGTGGAATATTAGAGCTGGGGAATGAAATGTATAATCGATTGCACGTACAGATACAGCTACGCCAACGGTTAAATCGCTTATCGGCACATAGAGCATACGTGTGATATTATTTTATTCCTTATCGCTATCTTTGTTGCATCACTGTGATTCCCATCAGCACTTGTGCTCATGTATTTATCCCTCGCTAGTTGCTCCCCTATTATATATAAAAGAGAGTACGCGTTACCTGGGAAGCGTACAGCCAGTAGTTTTGCCAAGCTACGTAGTCTCCTCCGGGACAATTGACTCTCCGTTAAAACAGTGTCCGCCGACATGAAAGCCGTATTTACAGCTTTGTTGCTCGTCACCTTGTTGGCTTACGCCACTTGCGCTCACAGTAAGTAATGCATACAATTGTCCACAATTTTTTCATTGAGACCATTTAATTGTATGTACTCGCGATTTTTCGCTATCTCCGTTTCAGACTGCGACGAAAACTTTTGCAAGAAATTGTGCGGTATTTTGGGCTACCCCAACGGAGTGTGCGTCGGTGATTACACGTGCAGATGCAGTCGGTTCCTCGCGTTCAACATCAACGAAATGATGTCGGCCCTCAACCAACAGCCGAAGGGGCAATAAATCGTCTTGGTATAACGTAATACCCTATGAGTGAATAAATTTTCGATTCGCGTGATAAAAATGTATATTTTACGAATGTGCCCAAAAAAAAAAAAAAAAGTTGTACTCGACAGTAAATCGGAAAAATAAATTGATAGTTTGAAAGTAGAGCACGCGTTTGTTTTCGACCGTACTCGTGCTGTCCCACATGTTGGTTTTTGCATGAACGGGCACGCATGACAATGACACAGAACGCGAGTATCTAACGAGGTACAAGATCAAAAGAACTTTGAGCTTCGAAAACTGTTTTAATATTAATGTAACAATGTAAACAAAAGGTTTCCCTTGAACTGGCATTTTTATTGCGTATTGTTTGTATTTTCTATTTTTTTTTTTTTTTTTTTCACTCCAATAACAAACTTTCCGTCTATTGCTCGTGTACTTGGAGTTGGGTCGATATTACCATCTCGAAGATGGGATTTGCCTTAAAAAAAAAAACAAATTGAGTAGTTCTAAAGTGCCAGTTGAAGGAGCGAGAAATAAAAATCCAAGAGAGGGAGCAGGTGTAGCAGAGCATAAAAGCTTACGTATATATATATATATATAGGTAAGTGTGATGATGGGGGAAATCTTGAAGGGAGAAAAAGGAGAGGGTAGTAGAGCCGATCGATCGCCTATACGCCGTTCTCCTTCTTCCTTGCGCGTGTACTGTTGTATATATGGTACATAAGCAGGTATCTCCACTCGAACATTTCGTCCTTAGTCTTTGAAAGTATGACCATAGAGTGCAGGTGCTCACGAATAGTTGCTTTCCTCCTTCCAGTGTCGGTGGCTTGATTTTATCGCGGAGCTCTTGTGTTTTATGCTCATTCGACGCGTTATCCGACACTTTTCCTCTTCTTCTTCTTCTTCTTCTTACTTTTCTTTTCATCCATTACGAGAGTTGCACATGTACAAGTACAGGCATTTTATTCGATCTATATCGCCTTCACGGAAGGAAGCCTGGAAAAAAATCCAGTTTCTTTTAGTTGGTTGATGAATTTTACATACTCACGATAAAGTCGTGAAAAAATTTTCGTTACGATTAATCGTCGTGTTGGTGACGTGCTAAAACACGCGCCTTCAAAACTTTATTACTAAAATACATTTAAAAAATTAAGTTAATTTTATCGCAAGTGTAATTTTAGATTTATTTGTACGAGCTGGTTGATCATTTGTTTATTCATGAGTGTTTTTATTTTTCATTTTTACCTAAAGAACGACGTCACTGATGATTTATACATACAAACAGACGTATGTATAGCAATGCCAATTACGTAAATCAAGGAGTTTTGATGTTGTGGCTAAAGAAATATTAGTAACTAATAAAAAAAAAAAAAAAAATCTTAAAGATTTTCCAATCAATTACATGTCCGACGATTACGACAGTAATAATAATGATAGTAAGAAAAAAAACAAAACAAAATCGCTTCTCGATATATTCATCCAAGAGCTAAATTACAGCTATTGATCTATAATTGCCGCGTTGTTTTGATTTCCCCTTCCCCCACAGCAGAGAAACCGTATTTCTCTCGTCAACTCTAAATTTTTACTTTTTCATCCATCTATTTGATTATTCCGTGTACAAGTACTAGCAATGAATTTTTCAAGTACTATATCGTTTCCTCTCGAATTCGACAAATATATACTTACCCACGATCAGAAAAGAATATCCATACGTAAGAGACCGATTAAGGAAAAAAGTGCCAGTAAAAATATTTAGACGGTACAATCCAAGAGTACAAAGTTCAATGGTAAATATAGTCACACGATGCCCAAACATCCCTGACCTTTGAAAGCCGCAGCTATATGGGCTCGAGATCGGACACAACAGTATAGTGCCGAATAAAAAATAAAAAGAAGGGCTAAACCGTCGCTGCTTGTAAAAGCGGAGAAAATTGGCTCGTTCCGTCGGAGGCAATTATGACTGTTGATGCGGTATCGGAGAGTCAACCCTGCACGTGGAAAGAGTAAAAAGAGCAGTTTGTAGCTGTGCCGTGACCACGTAGCTGCGATACCTCCGTTGCGTATACACACGCAGCCGTGGAAGATAAGAATAACGGGCGAGAGGGGAGGGGACACTAGAAGTGCCACTGGAGGAAAGCAAGGAAAATAGGTACTACGAAAAGGGGGCTGTGGGGAGTTGGAGCCGAGGAACCACCCTATCGATCCTGGATGTGCCGGAGACGTGCGTATCCCCGGGGGGATGGCAAAAGAGCGCGTACATCCATGTGCACGTACATATATGTATAACACACGAACAACACTTTCGATGGTACTCTATTTATTCATTTTTTTTTTTACCCCCGATGGGACCCCGTACGCGTTTTTTCCTCCTCCTTTTCTCCCGAGCGACCAGGTTGCCCGAGGCTCCCTACAACCCTGTTTTGCGATAGCTCGTAATATCCAAGAGCCGACTTTATCCTGCTCTACAAGCTACGAGCTGTTTGACTTTTTCTGGTGTCCCGTATAAGCTCAATATTATTAGGCGATTACAGTACTAAGTGGATGCACTCCCTAATGAGGTACACTAAGCGATATATTGCTTGAGCTTGATAATACATAGAGTAATGGGGGGTGGTAAAGCTGTGGCCGGGGGGGAGGGGGGAAACTCGATAAGTACGTTAGGTGTGTATGGAACCGGTCGCGCGTTTCGCTGACAAGTCGCGGCACCTCTACTGATGCAACGTCGCCAGCGCGCGGCACCAAAATCGATGTCGGGCTCCTATACTCGACTTCATATCGGCTCTCGACCGTCGAGAAAAAGTTGCGAAAATTTCTCTCGCTTACCGTTCGGTGGCGTGTGTATCGTCGTTGGTTTTTTCTCGTAGTATACTTATACACTCGATTGGTTTTACTTGTAAAACGCACTTCTGGTGTTTTTATAAATTACAATGTCTTTTTTTATTAATACATTGTGCAAACCGCGCGTACCCATTGTGCAAAAAATATGTACCTACGGTTGGTCATAGAGAAAGTTGCAGCTTTTGTGCATTCAGTAAAGCGGATAGTTCGCTCCAGCCTGTATACATATACTTAATATGGATGTATAAGCGCCCCTCGAAACAACACGTTTATGCCGCTACGCGCTACGGTTGAGATGAAAGAGGGGCGATAAGTTGGGGGCAAAAGGAAGAGGGGTTCTTTTTTCAATTCCCTCTATACCTGTGTTATCCCGCCGGCGCATCCCAGAGGCACGCGTTATCTCCCCCCCCCCTCTTTTAGCATCGTATCTGCCCCGTAGGCGGTCGATTTTCCTCTCCGGCTCTTCAGCCTTTTGCCCGACTCGTTCGCGATGCTGGCTCGCGATTGCGCTCGTTTGGACGCGAGTGGCTCGAAAAATTAAGATGAGAGGCTGCACGCGTCGAGAGGATAGGTTTTTTTTTCTTTTTTTCAATCACTCCTGAACTCTATTTTTTAAGTAAAT